AGGTCTTTGCACTTGTTCTAGAACAAGCAAGCGCAGAAAGATAGTCGCTAAGAAAATGTTATTGTACTGGTGAGAAAACACTTTTTTACACTCTTGTAGTGAGTTTTGTTTACGATCGGGTTGTGTACGTGTGAATTGCTGCAAATCTTCGTAATTTGAACAATATGAATGCGCAACGCTGTTCTTTAACTAGTTTTTTAGGAAATTTTCTAAAAGTTTACCTAATATAGCATTAAATCCTTTTTAAGATTTAATACCTTAACATTTCTGTTTGTAATTCAATCGATATTTTCCAAAATATAACAAAGTTTGCAAGATTTTACTTTTCTAGACCTGATGTCTCAGCATTTTGTGCGTGTTTATATTTAACTAAATTATTTATTTGCCAGCAACAAATTTTATTTATAAAAGTAATAAAATAGTTTTATATATACTTTTTTTTATTTATTTAAACATGTCTCTGCAATACTCGACATGATAAAATCTAAGCATACAATGTGGAAACATTTTATAAATTTTCTATTTAAATACAATATTTTAAATATGAATGGGTTTAATTTTGGACTCAATAAATCCACTTATTGGTGAGTCTAGAGTTAACAGTTTAAACTTTTGATTTCATAAAAATTACGATTAAAGCTTTAAATAATGTCAACTTATTTTACCGTAACAAATTAAAACTATTTAAGTATTAATTTCAAATTATCTTCTTTCCCAATCATTTGATCTTATTGAGTGTCGTCTTACTTTCGCCTTTAGTATAACAATAATAAATCTTGTATATTATTCAATTAAACTTATTAATTGCTTTGATCATTATTACTTACCGTTAAAGCAGATAACTACTAGCGTTAGTGTTTTTGAAAATTATATATTATATATTAATTATTAATTTTAAACAAACCGCTTCTTTATACTTTTTGTATTATTTTTTCGCGATCATTGTTTCGTTAACTAATTGAGGTTAATGTTAGGGTTTTTTTCTCTTAGTTTCATAATACTCTACCGTGATTACAAGAATTAATTCTATTTAATTTAAATGTTTTTGTTGTTGTTTATAATTTAACTTCATTTCACTCTTTTAGTTTTCGTGGGAATTTTCGTAAAACTTTTCTTTAAGTTTTCTGTATAACAATTACAAAATTTTACCACGTTCTACTTTTAGGATAATAAATATTTAATAAATAATGATTTTAAAGGTGAAATATATACGTACATGTGTCATGGAATTATATTCAGTTATATAGTAAGTTTAGGAATTAGTAGAACTAACAATAAATCCCTTAAAACTTGATATAAAAGCATCCGCTTTTAAAGTTGATAATAAGCTCTCTTTGCCGATGCCTGCTTTATACCTGTTACCATCAAAGAGTTATGATTGAACTCTCTGTACGGTTTTTTCTGTACACATGTGTTAGATTTGGGTTGTCTGAAAGCCAGATATTAGAGAGCTCTTTGCCGATATCTGCTCTAGCCACGACATTTGACATTTACATTATTTGATTATTAGTTAAACAATTGTTTGTTAATTCAAATCAAAACTAATCTCATTTAAACATAAATATTTATGCTTTATTTACAGACATATTTTATAATTAAAATTTCACTTACTGCAGTGTTCTAAAACAAGTATTTTTCCCAAAATTATATTTTAACATTATTTTGTATTTATTACAGACAAATAAAACTCCAAAATTATATTTTTGGTTTTATTTGTTACAGACATTTTTATGACACTACCAAAAATGGCGCTGTTGATTCCGTAAATGGAAAATTTATTAGCCTGTTGTTTGCCAAAACACAATTTATTGTGCTTGTTTAAATTATATATAAGGATTTAAAGGTTTTTTATTGCTAACTAAGGGCTCACACTCTAACTCTTATATTCTGGTATTATTTCGTAAAATGTTTCTGTAATTAATGCCGTCATGTTGAATAATTTTAACCCTTTCGACTTTTTGGATTTTTTTTACACAACTATAAAGTTTTAAGTTTGTTTTCTAGTTTAATTAAGTTTAAAATTTTACAAAAATTATAAAATGGCGTGAACATTTTGAAAAAAAGTGAAAACTTTTTAAGATATCTTCGTAAAATAGTTTTATTGTTTACTAGTTGGAACTGACTCGAGTTAAAATAGATAGAATATATATGTAGGTAGATAGATAGATAGATAGATAGATAGATAGATAGATAGATAGATAGATAGATAGATAGATAGATAGATAGATAGATAGATAGATAGATAGATAGATTAGATAGATAGATAGATAGATAGATAGATAGATAGATAGATAGATTAGATAGATAGATAGATAGATAGATAGATTAGATAGATAGATAGATAGATAGATAGATAGATAGATAGATAGATAGATAGATAGATAGTAGATACATACATAAATAAGCAAATAGGGACCGATTCGCAAAAAAAATCGTTGAATATTTACATAAAATATCGAGGGACTATATTCAATAGTCTCTATCTAAAATAATACAAGTTTTCAGGAGAGCAAAAAAACTGCTTATTTCGCTAGTTCGTGAAGATTTTTTAATTTTTTCTTTTACAATATATTTTTACGACCATATTCTAAACCTTTATATAAAAAGAATTTTAATTTTTGCATTATTTACAAAATTATTCACAAAATTTATATCAGATAGAGCTTATTTTTCTACGAAAATGTTCATTCAACCAACAGATAGAGAGTTTTTCATGGAAACATAAAATTTTTATTTGAATTAAAATCAATAAATATTATATTTTATACAATTTAATGGAGGAAAAGAAACCAAATTGTTGAAAAAGCAACAGATTATAATGTTTTGGTCCAAAATCAATATTATATGGTTAAACACGACAATAAAATTGATTTAATTAGTATCATAATGAGCGATATCTCAAAAACTATTAGACCGAATTTAAATATTTTGACGGATTTGTGTTCAGCATGTCCAAATTATTAAGAAGACTTGTTTTGCAACAGAAAATTATCCAAAGGGATCGAGTTTGAAGCAATTTTTGGATAAGATAGAGAGTTTTGCATTCAGAATTTTTCTTTTTTAAGATAGAGAAATTTAAGAAATGCTATAAAATTGCCAAAAAATATTTTTTTCTTTGAAATTTATATCACTGATGCGCGATAGTTTGCTGAATATTTTGCCATCAAAATCTCATTTCATAAAAATGACAGATAGCGACTATTGAATATAGTCCCTCGATATTAAAATGTAATACCAAATTTCAATATATAAATGTTAGAAGTGAATTGTGAAGATTCAGTCAATTTCTGAAGGCGGGCTTTGTGTGGATGCTATGGAAACCGATCATTAGAGAATAACCAATTTCATCCTTGAGGCAAAAAAGTACATGTAACATTTTATTGAATTAGCTTGAAATTTCTACCTGTACCTTGTAATCGAGATATGTCCGGCTGGCTGGTCGCTTGATTTAATGAGTTTAATGAGATTATAGAAAAATGTTAATGGAAGAATTACTGAATAAACTTTTTTATTATTTTTCAGTTTCTCGATATAGTGATACTTCCAATTTTTTATAGTTATTTATAATTGAAATCCAAATTTTTATAATTTCTAGTATCAAAACAAATTTTGTTGCATTTTAAAAACAATATTTTTATTTTAAATATTTTATCAATTGTTTCATTTCATAAATTATTGGCTTTTAAATTTCATCACTTGCTTCTTATAATTTGGTTATAATTAGTGCTGGTAAAATACTAAGCAATGGTTACAATTACTATTCGATTGTTTTATGAAAAAGTATAAATATGACTTATTTGACAGGATCCCAAGATTTCAAGACTTTTTTGTTTTCATTTTAACATCATGTCAAAATTTGTTAGAATGTTCGAATTGATTCAAAATTACCAGCACTATATAGTCAAAACTTAATAATCGTATCTGCAGCACTACAACTAGAAATATGTTCTTGTCTCTTTTTCTCTCTTTTTCTAGTACGTAGTTGCACCATTATATTAATTGCAACAACTGTAACATCAACAACAATATAAATAAGCAACACCATTAACCCTCCCAAAAAATAAAAAAATCTCAAATAATCTCACTTTATTCACCAGTTTAACGTATAACTTTTAATCATGATTAGCGTTCTTTTTATTGCCAATAGACTATTTAGCAGTATGGTTAAACAGGGACCCAGACCAGTGGTTGTGTGTGGACCTTCGGGTTCTGGAAAAGTACTCTGCTGAATAGACTATTCGCAGAATTTCCCAATACTTTCGGTTTTAGTGATCGCATACCACGCGTAAACCTCGACCCGGAGAGGAGGATGGTGTTCACTATAACTTTGTCAGCCGTGAGGAAATGGAAAAAGTGTGGCCAATGATGAATTTATAGAATCGGCTACGTTTGGTGGCAACATGTATGGCACTAGTAAGGAGGCTGTACGTAAGGTACAAAATGCCGGTAAAGTTTGTATTTTAGATATTGAACCCCAAGGTGTGGAGCAGGTGAAGAAGACCAATTTAAATCCCATACTAATCTATAATAATCCACCATCTGTGGAGGCTTTGGAAAACGTTTACGTAAACGTGGCACCGAAACCGAGGAATCTTTAAAGAAACGTTTAGATGCTGCCGCTTTGAGATTGCTTATGGTCTGACACCCGGTAATTTCCAGAAAATTATCCATAACATTGACATTGATCAGGCCTACGAAGAGTTTCGTGAATTTATTGTAGCCGAATTGAAGGCTCAAGAAGCTGCTGGCATTACTATTACCTGTAATGTCTTAAAATAGACCTAGACCCATTAGAACCTCTGCATTTTCGCAATGGTATTTAAGTTTAAAGATATTTTAAACTTTAGTAAAATCATTGTTGATGTTCAACGTATAATATTTTGCGGTGTGACTAGAATTTAAAGAAAATTTTATTTAAATTTAAGTCAATTACTATTATTTCGTGATTTTTAATTTTTTTAAATAAAAATTTATGTATTTCTTTTAATACCAATTATTTTCAAAGAAATACATAAATTTTTATTTAAAAAAATTAAAAAAATCACGAAATAAATAGTAATTGACTTAAATTTAAATAAAAACTTTTTCTTTAAATTCTAGTCACACACGCAAAATATTATACGTTGAACATCAACAATGATTTTACTAAAGTTTAAAATATCTTTAAACTTAAAATACCATTGCGAAAATGCAGAGGTTCTAATGGGTCTAGGTCTATTTTAAGACATTACCAGGTAATAGTAATGCCAGCAGCTTCTTGAGCCTTCAATTCGGCTACAATAAATTCACGAAACTCTTCGTAGGCCTGATCAATGTCAATGTTATGGATAATTTTCTGGAAATTACCGGGTGTCAGACCATAAGCAATCTCAGAAGCGGCAGCATCTAAACGTTTCTTTAAAGATTCCTCGGTTTCGGTGCCACGTTTACGTAAACGTTGTTCCAAAGCCTCCACAGATGGTGGATTATTATAGATTAGTATGGGATTTAAATTGGTCTTCTTCACCTGCTCCACACCTTGGGGTTCAATATCTAAAATACAAACTTTACCGGCATTTTGTACCTTACGTACAGCCTCCTTACTAGTGCCATACATGTTGCCACCAAACGTAGCCGATTCTATAAATTCATCATTGGCCACAGCTTTTTCCATTTCCTCACGGCTGACAAAGTTATAGTGAACACCATCCTCCTCTCCGGGTCGAGGTTTACGCGTGGTATGCGATACACTAAAACCGAAAGTATTGGGAAATTCTGCGAATAGTCTATTCAGCAGAGTACTTTTACCAGAACCCGAAGGTCCACACACAACCACTGGTCTGGGTCCCTGTTTAACCATACTGCTAAATAGTCTATTGGCAATAAAAAGAACGCTAATCATGATTAAAAGTTATACGTTAAACTGGTGAATAAAGTGAGATTATTTGAGTTTTTTTTATTTTTTGGGAGGGTTAATGGTGTTGCTTATTTATATTGTTGTTGATGTGACAGTTGTTGCAATTAATATAATGGTGCAACTACGTACTAGAAAAAAGAGAGAAAAAGAGACAGAAACATATTTCTAGTTGTAGTGCTGCAGATACGATTATTAAGTTTTGACTATATAGTGCTGGTAATTTTGAATCAATTCGAACATTCTAACAAATTTTGACATGATGTTTAAAATGAAAACAAAAAAGTCTTGAAATCTTGGATCCTGTCAAATAAGTCATATTTATACTTTTTTCATAAAACAATCGAATAGTAATTGTAACCATTGCTTAGTATTTTACCAGCACTAATTATAACCAAAATTATAAGAAGCAAGTGATGAAATTAAAAGCCAATAATTTATGAAATGAAAACAATTGATAAAATATTTAAAATAAAAATATTGTTTTTAAATGCAACAAAATTTGTTTTGATACTAGAAATTATAAAAATTTGGATTTCAATTATAATAAACTATAAAAAATTGGAAGTATCACTATATCGAGAAACTGAAAAAAATAATAAAAAAGTTTATTCAGTAATTCTTCCATTAACATTTTTCTATAATCTCATTAAACTCATTAAATCAAGCGACCAGCCAGCCGGACATATCTCGATTACAAGGTACAGGTAGAAATTTCAAGCTAAATTCAATAAAATGTTACATGTACTTTTTTGCCTCAAGGATGAAATTGGTTATTCTCTAATGATCGGTTTCCATAGCATCCACACAAAGCCCGCCTTCAGAATTGACTTGAATCTTCACAATTCACTTCTAAACATTTATATATTGAAATTTTGGTATTACATTTTAATATCGAGGGACTATATTCAATAGTCGCTATCTGTCATTTTTATGAAAATGAGATTTTGATGGCAAATATTCAGCAAACTATCGCGCATCAGTGATATAAATTTCAAAGAAAAAAAATATTTTTTGGCAATTTTATAGCATTTCTTAAATTTCTCTATCTTAAAAAAAAGAAAAATTCTGAATGCAAAACTCTCTATCTTATCCAAAAATTGCTTCAAACTCGATCCCTTTGGATAATTTTCTGTTGCAAAACAAGTCTTCTTAATAATTTGGACATGCTGAACACAAATCCGTCAAAATATTTAAATTCGGTCTAATAGTTTTGAGATATCGCTCATTATGATACTAATTAAATCAATTTTATTGTCGTGTTTAACCATATAATATTGATTTGGACCAAAACATTATAATCTGTTGCTTTTTCAACAATTTGGTTTCTTTTCCTCCATTAAATTGTATAAAATATAATATTTATTGATTTTAATTCAAATAAAAATTTTATGTTTCCATGAAAAACTCTCTATCTGTTGGTTGAATGAACATTTTCGTAGAAAAATAAGCTCTATCTGATATAAATTTGTGAATAATTTTGTAAATAATGCAAAAATTAAATTCTTTTTATATAAAGGTTTAGAATATGGTCGTAAAAATATATTGTAAAAGAAAAAATTAAAAAATCTTCACGAACTAGCGAAATAAGCAGTTTTTTTGCTCTCCTGAAAACTTGTATTATTTTAGATAGAGACTATTGAATATAGTCCCTCGATATTTTATGTAAATATTCAACGATTTTTTTTGCGAATCGGTCCCTATTTGCTTATTTATGTATGTATCTACTATCTATCTATCTATCTATCTATCTATCTATCTATCTATCTATCTATCTATCTATCTAATCTATCTATCTATCTATCTATCTATCTATCTATCTATCTATCTATCTATCTATCTATCTATCTATCTATCTAATCTATCTATCTATCTATCTATCTATCTATCTATCTATCTATCTATCTATCTATCTATCTATCTATCTATCTATCTAATCTATCTATCTATCTATCTACCTACATATATATTCTATCTATTTTAACTCGAGTCAGTTCCAACTAGTAAACAATAAAACTATTTTACGAAGATATCTTAAAAAGTTTTCACTTTTTTCAAAATGTTCACGCCATTTTATAATTTTTGTAAAAATTTTAAACTTAATTAAACTAGAAACAAACTTAAAACTTTATAGTTGTGTAAAAAAAATCCAAAAAAAGTCGAAAAGGGTTAAAATTATTCAACATGACGGCATTAATTACAGAAACATTTTACGAAATAATACCAGAATATAAGAGTTAGAGTGTGAGCCCTTAGTTAGCAATAAAAAACCTTTAAATCCTTATATATAATTTAAACAAGCACAATAAATTGTGTTTTGGCAAACAACAGGCTAATAAATTTTCCATTTACGGAATCAACAGCGCCATTTTTGGTAGTGTCATAAAAATGTCTGTAACAAATAAAACCAAAAATATAATTTTGGAGTTTTATTTGTCTGTAATAAATACAAAAATAATGTTAAAATATAATTTTGGGAAAAATACTTGTTTTAGAACACTGCAGTAAGTGAAATTTTAATTATAAAATATGTCTGTAAATAAAGCATAAATATTTATGTTTAAATGAGATTAGTTTTGATTTGAATTAACAAACAATTGTTTAACTAATAATCAAAATAATGTAAATGTCAAATGTCGTGGCTAGAGCAGATATCGGCAAAGAGCTCTCTTAATATCTGGCTTTCAGACAACCCAAATCTAACACATGTGTACAGAAAAAACCGTACAGAGAGTTCAATCATAACTCTTTGATGGTAACAGGTATAAAGCAGGCATCGGCAAAGAGAGCTTATTATCAACTTTAAAAGCGGATGCTTTTATATCAAGTTTTAAGGGATTTATTGTTAGTTCTACTAATTCCTAAACTTACTATATAACTGAATATAATTCCATGACACATGTACGTATATATTTCACCTTTAAAATCATTATTTATTAAATATTTATTATCCTAAAAGTAGAACGTGGTAAAATTTTGTAATTGTTATACAGAAAACTTAAAGAAAAGTTTTACGAAAATTCCCACGAAAACTAAAAGAGTGAAATGAAGTTAAATTATAAACAACAACAAAAACATTTAAATTAAATAGAATTAATTCTTGTAATCACGGTAGAGTATTATGAAACTAAGAGAAAAAAACCCTAACATTAACCTCAATTAGTTAACGAAACAATGATCGCGAAAAAATAATACAAAAAGTATAAAGAAGCGGTTTGTTTAAAATTAATAATTAATATATAATATATAATTTTCAAAAACACTAACGCTAGTAGTTATCTGCTTTAACGGTAAGTAATAATGATCAAAGCAATTAATAAGTTTAATTGAATAATATACAAGATTTATTATTGTTATACTAAAGGCGAAAGTAAGACGACACTCAATAAGATCAAATGATTGGGAAAGAAGATAATTTGAAATTAATACTTAAATAGTTTTAATTTGTTACGGTAAAATAAGTTGACATTATTTAAAGCTTTAATCGTAATTTTTATGAAATCAAAAGTTTAAACTGTTAACTCTAGACTCACCAATAAGTGGATTTATTGAGTCCAAAATTAAACCCATTCATATTTAAAATATTGTATTTAAATAGAAAATTTATAAAATGTTTCCACATTGTATGCTTAGATTTTATCATGTCGAGTATTGCAGAGACATGTTTAAATAAATAAAAAAAAGTATATATAAAACTATTTTATTACTTTTATAAATAAAATTTGTTGCTGGCAAATAAATAATTTAGTTAAATATAAACACGCACAAAATGCTGAGACATCAGGTCTAGAAAAGTAAAATCTTGCAAACTTTGTTATATTTTGGAAAATATCGATTGAATTACAAACAGAAATGTTAAGGTATTAAATCTTAAAAAGGATTTAATGCTATATTAGGTAAACTTTTAGAAAATTTCCTAAAAAACTAGTTAAAGAACAGCGTTGCGCATTCATATTGTTCAAATTACGAAGATTTGCAGCAATTCACACGTACACAACCCGATCGTAAACAAACTCACTACAAGAGTGTAAAAAAGTGTTTTCTCACCAGTACAATAACATTTTCTTAGCGACTATCTTTCTGCGCTTGCTTGTTCTAGAACAAGTGCAAAGACCTTCTTAAACAACAAGCTTGGAACTAGTGTTGACGCCACTACTTCTGGAAGTCATTACTCAGAACATTATTGTCGTTCTAAAAATACCTCTAAAGAGTTTTCATGGAACTCCTACGTGTTAAATGTATAATTTTTTTACCACAATTGGGTTGCCAACTCAACTCTCATCAGACTTACTTTCGCAGTAGAAAACTGTTGTAATTCTTTTGGAAAATATCTAAATTTTTTACCCAGAGTTAACAATTCAAGTGGATAATTGTGAACGTAATTAAGTACAAACCCTGCAATGCTACGGCTATCAAATGTTTCAGACAGCTGGAGTTCCATATCAATTGAAATGTAGCTATCTTTTACATCTGATATGTATTTCGGACAACTGGAGCAGTCCAGCAGTATATATCTTCTATAATAAAAGAGTTATACATTATATATAAGACTAAAGCCTCCTCTATAACCGGTAGGCCAAGATGCTGAGACGGATTTTAAATAAGAGATCTGCGATGTTCATAATAAGAAGTTTCTAAAAACCACATTGATCGTTAAGTATCGGAGTTGATCCTAGCAGCCCGTAGAGTTTAGTAATCAACATTCAAAATATCTAGAAGTTAAGCACTGGAACCGGTTTTTGCCTTTTAAATCCATGCACCCCTACAAAAAATAAAGAAGATTACTTATGCGAATAAATATACTACCGAAGGGGCAAACCAAGGTTTTCTTAACTACGCGTAAGATGTCATCGAAGAATTTGGTCCTACTACAATACCGTGCTCTTAGAAACTCCTCAGATAAAGTTAAAAAAACGACTTTTATCTGGGAAAGTTTCCCTGTAATGTAAACACACATGAACCGTTAGATTTCAAACAATA